TAATTGTTCTAACATTTTCTGCCTTTATTTTTGTAGTTTATTTTTAATAGCAAAGGCTATTCGGTAGAACCAACATTAAACACTTTTTAGACAAGATGTGCCAGAAGGACATAATTTCATTTAACAAAACAAATAATATCTAAATCTTAAAAGACATAAACATCACTTCTGTTTTTCAACTTTTAGCAAAAGCCTTGGGACAGTTTTCCTCAGTATCTTTAAGCATGGTTTTGAAATGGATGCAAATTAAAGATTTACATATAAGTTAACATTAGAAATCCCAGAAATATGAGAATTTTCAGCAGTCTCCAGTTCCCCCAAATAGTACTTCACAACTCATGAATCTCTTTTCAGATGTAGATGCCCCATTAGCGCTGTCGTTGGAAAACCCATTCCACTCCTTTCAGTTTCGGTTTTAGCTCAAGTCTCTCTCTTGGAGAGTGTTTTACCTGAGAGCAGGGGGGGAAAAAATCATATTTGTAATTAATTATAACTAGGTCTACATCATTATCGCGCCAACACCAGAATTATTTCAGTGCAGCCACCTGCGCAGCGATCAGATGATAAATGATCTGTACAATGAAAATAGCTGCATAAGCTGGAACACTGTAGAGAGGGAAAGCACAAATATTTATGACCATCTGCCCTATTTCCTAGGGGGCAAATAAAACTCAAGTCACGATCTCTCCTCTCTCCTTCGCTGCAGCCGTGCAGACAGCATCAGGAGATTGCAGTAAAGTTGGCAATACATTCACAGATTCGGATTTTCCAGATTAATAACTCATCGGCGGATGATTTATTCTACAAAACAGACACCTCTCCGCAATCACAGCAAGGCAGACAGTGAGCTGCAACCGTAGTTTCCTCAAAAGGAGTCTCCCATGGCACTGGGAGAATTACATTGGACTGTATGCAGAGCTCCTCCGCAAATGCTTAGGAACCGTCTGCAAGTTGAGAGAGAAATATTCGAAAGCATCACCAAGGACAGGTTGATTATTATCAAATGCGTTTAATGTGTATCTCATCTCATGTGTTTCATACCACATATATTGGATTCGAGAATAATACTTTTTTGAGGAATTTCCCAAAGCCTAAATGACAAATGGCACCTCTATTTTATTGTTAGAATAAGTATAAAATTAGCAATGACTACACTATAGATCATTGTAGTGCCACCAGACTTGTAGGATACATAGATAATGTCATCTGGATCATATTACAACACTTGTTTTGGGTAGATAGGCCACACTGTATTTTTGGATATTTTTTCATTGTTATTATAAGCATATAATAGCCAATAATTACACTTTAGATTATTTTAGTGCCAACAAACTTGTAGGATACATAGATAACCTCATCTACTTCATACTGCAACTCTTACTTTCAGAATATATGCTAAACTCTATTTTTTGAGCAGGCCAGGTGTGCAATCTCTGCACCAGGAACCACAGCACTGAGCGTTGTGTGCACTGCACAAAGCATACCTGTCACAAATGCAGGAAGGACGCACCTTGGGTTTGTCAAAACTGCTAAATGGGACAATTGTAGCTTCATATGTTGTGCTTTTCCTTGGGTGAAATAAATGTTACTCCAATACTGAAATCATACTGTTTGTCATTTTCTAAGCTAAAATGTTGAATGACATGAAAAGGCGAGACAAGACAAAATACAATTATTCTTGAAGTTGTTCTTTCTTTCACATAGTGAGCTTTGCGATATAAATGAGTCTGTTGGTGGTTGGACAATATAAATGGGCTCTGCCTTGTCTTGTCGGAAAAGCATGGCTATGACCTGTTGTGAGCTCAGGAACTAGGACCCGTATGAAATCTGGTTGCTCAATAGGTTTGCCCAAGTAAAAGATTTAGATATGAATTATCAATATATTCTTGCAAAAGGGTCTGATGTTGCAGGGGCAGGTAATGAAAAGTGTTTGGAGCATGCTCTTGTTCTGATGCCAGTTTGTTTCAGCCTTTATCCAGTCTCATGTAGAAGGGCTACTGTAGTCATATCACAGGTTTGCATTTCAACAAGGGCAGTTAGCAAGGTAGAGTGAATACACTAACTTGAAGAGGGTAGGGGGGCTTGCAGGAAAACAAAAATTCCCTGGGACTTCTAGTGTTAAGGGTTGGAGTTGGTTTTCCAATTTCAATGCCAAGTTTTCTAAGCCATCACAAGGCTTTTGTTGGGCTACTCTATAAAGCCTTGAACTGAACAGTAATCCAGGCAAACACACTACATAAATAGCAGAGGAACCAGGTGGAAATGATCGGTGTTAATCAGCCACAGAACCAATTAGACAGGAGAGCAAGGACCAAGGAAAAAAACAAACCATCAGTGCCAAGATCATGACAGCAATGCCCAGATGACCTGGCTCCTTTTGATTTAATGTGGTGTTTCACAGCATAAGCAGCAGCGAGTGAGCCCTTTACCAAAATGCCCTGTCATTCCAATACTAATACTCGAATAGTGGGGAAAAAGTTCAGCTGGATATTTTTCAAGATGCTCAAGAGCTCTTTTCTATTAAAAGGAATTATGCCAGAAAACAGCATTAACACAAAGACACAAATTAAAGCCTACCTAACACTGAGGTAGCTATACAGGGCACCATATTGGATGCAGGTGATTTATTACTTGATTCTAACCTATTGCTTATAATTTCAGTAACATACACAGCGATGATTCCTATATGTAGCCTTGTTATGATGATTATGTTTAATGGTTTATATGACATTTGTGGTTAGGGAAAATATTTGTGAAAACAAAATATTTCTATTTGCATTTTTCTATTTGTGAATGGGAAAAATGCCTAACCAAATTCACACACAAATCACAGTTAAATTGGTGGGTTTTGGTTCTGGTGACAAATAAATCATACTACATATTTAAGCTGCAGAGAATATGTGATGCAGAGGGTCATATTAAACTGGGTCAGTTTCAATGTTTGGGTAAATATAAAGTGGGTGAGACTGAGTTTGCTTAAAATACTTACTCTAATATGCTCAGATTTATTGCATCTCCGTCTCAGGTATACAGATGTATGTGTTCATGTTTAACCTCCAGAAATATGAATATTTAAATGCCTAATAGATGCTTTTGCAATAGGCCAAACAAACTTTTGCTAAAGCAAAGTCGCCTGGCTTATTATGTGCAGATCCAACAAAGAAGATATTTTTGAAGACAAGCAACTGATTCAGTGCCTCATTGATGCCAATTAGGGCCTGGTTCATACTGATCCCGAAAGTGGTGGCCGTGTTCTTCTAGGTCACCATTTTGGTCTTCCACTTGTTTTTTTTGTTGTTGTTTTTTTTTACATTTTTATTAGTTTTGCATTTTCACGAACAGAAAAAAGAGAAAACTGTACACTGTGCCGCCAGTCATCTTACATGTGTACGGGACAAGGAACAGAAACAAAAACAACAATGACATCAAAGGAAAAATAAATACATAAATAAATAAAAGGAAGCCATTGTACAATGTCACATTCACGTTAAATCATGTCCTCAGTAATTGGCACATATTATGAGACATATTTAAAGCCTGACATCAATACAGTCATGTCTAGCTGGGTGATCGAAGAAAGAGAAAGGATTTATACTAGTATAAAAGGAGGATATTAATTAGTTAAGGCCTGGTGAGGCCTTCCTCTTTCTAGGATTCTGACCTCTCATCACAAGTTGAGTCAGCTCTTTAGGTAAATAGCTTAGCACAGGAGACCACATATCAATGAAATGTTTCTCATTACCCTTAAGAACTGCACTAGTCCTTTCATGTGGGAGGACCCTAAATATCTCTCTATACCATTGTGTGATATTTGTTGTTTTATCCTTAATCCAATTGATTAAAATGCATTTTCTAGCTAAAAGCAATAATTTGTCACAAAGTTGGAGTGCGATTGTTTCAAAGTGACTGAAGGGAGGCCAAGAAGAAACAGACCTGGGTCACAGCTGATTTTTACATGAA